TTTTTGCAATAAAAAATTAATTAAAATGAAAAAATAAAAATTCATTTATATAGTTTAAGACTCAATTTAACAAACCCAACAACTTTTAGATCGATATTTTTTATAGTTTTCTTGGAAAAAATTCGCGAAAATAGCCTTTTTTTTAGGTGCTCAGAGTAGAAGGTCCCCTTAAGTGCGTGTATTTGTATCATTCGATTGAAAAAGAAAAAGAAAGTAAGAAAATTTGTTTAAACGTTACCTTATTATTAAATAATTTCTCATCTAAGAACAAAAGAGAATATTTCGTATAGAGCATCGAGATATTATACTTGACGAGCTTTTAAAAGCTTTATTCAAAACTACCGACTAACGTTCTTTATTTTGTCACGCTCGGCTTCGGCTTAACGAGGAGAGACAGACGCAACGGCTAATTAGTAGGTACGCTTCTTCCACAACGAAAGCAAACGAGTAATGCGAGACACACTGTGTGTCAACGATCCACGATTTTGAAAACATTTTTTTGTATTTTTTTTTTTTTCAAGCCTAAAGCTGCATCTACTACCACTACTACTACTACTACTACTGCTACAAAAAAACCGACAAAGAGACAAATTCATGACTGATTTTAATAATCTTTACTCATTAAATCTCATTAAAAATAAGAAAGAAAAAGAAATGGTTAGAGAAGATAAAGGGGAAAAAACGAAAAAAAAAAAAAAAGAAAAACAAAAAGTAGAACAACAAGAAAAGGGGGATCAAAAATAAATCCGAAAAGGATCTCAGATGAAAAGTTAAAGGGATGAAAAAGAAAAATCAGCTAAACGATTATCACGTCCGAGCGGTTCCTTTTTACTCGATGACAAATACCTAGATAACAAACTATATATATATATATATCTATGAGAGAGAGGGTTAGTTGGTACGATTTACAATTAGCTATTACAACGCCACTGTTGATTCTGGCCGATTGTTTCCTTCAACGAGCACGAGTCTCCTAATTACTCGTCTACTGTCGTAAAGCTCTTCCTCGTTAAAGCTTCGTAGTTATGGTGGCATGGGTAAAGGAGCAGTCAAAGGAGAAAGGAGAAATAAAAAAGAGTAGAAGAAACAGAAGAAAAGAAATGATAAAAAAAAAAAAAATAAAAGAGAGAGAAAAGAAAGAAGAAGAAAAAGAGTAAAAGAGAGAAATAGAGAGAGAGAGAGAGAGAGAGAAAGAGGAAACGGTCCAGTGAAACGGACCGGAAGAGGCAAAGCGACGGAAGTGAGTTGAGGGTGGGAAGGGGGTGTGAGGGAAAGGGTACCAACGTTGGATAGAATTGCAGAGAACGACGCGAGAAAAGGAAGAAAAAAAAAAAAAAAAAGAAAAAGAAAGAAAAAGAATAAGAGACAGTCTACACATCGGTGTCAAAGTGCTCGTGGCCTCGCCAATGGGGGTGGTTCTTGCTTTGTCGTGACTCTCGAGACGCTTGGTATTATTAAGACCGACCCTCCGGAAACATATTTAACGATGGCGCGAATAGAGAAAACTTTTCAGGCGTTTCTCTTAAATACGCTTCGATAATATTCATCCTTAGGGACATTCGATTGGTGAATGAGAATCAAAAAAAAAAAAAAAAAAAGAAAAGAAAACTCGAATTGAGAGAGTGTGAGAGAAAAAAAGGGGAAGCCAGTTCTGCTTCTTTTTTCTTTTTCTTTGTAAACTCGTTTATCCAAATATTTGTTGTTTTCTTTCTCTTTTTTTTTTGTTTTTTTTTTTGTTTTAACTTTTGAATGAAAAGTATGCGCTCGAATTTTGTCGCGAAACTTTGCTATTAAATTTTTCTTTTTTTTTTTGCATTAAAATCGTTAAGTAAAACTAAAGATAATAATACATTATTATTAATTAAAACTCATACGATATAATATACTAATAGAAAATTGTTGTTAATGTCGTTAGTTAAACTAAAGAGACATCGTTAAACTAACAAGAACATAAGAATAAAAGAAATTCTACAACTCGTTCAACACTTTAAGCAATAAACTTACTCCTCTTCTTGAAAGTGTTCGGATCGATCGAAGCATTATCTTCGAAATGAATTGCATCTTGTTAAAATAAAAAGATAAGAGAAGAAGTAAAAGTAAAAAAAAAAAAAAAAGTAAAAAAGAAAGAAAGAAGGAAGGGAGAGAAATAAAAAGTTGAAACGGGATAAATAACGTAGGATGGGGTGAAGTGGAGTGGGGTAGGGGGATTGATGTTTCCCCGAAGGTATCCCCCTCCTCCCTTCTCGTTCGTTGCATCGGAATACGCGGAAGCGATGAGAAGAGAGCATCGTTTTTCCGACTTTTTTTTTTGTACACACTGCATTCCATCATGGCTCCGATATATTATAATCTTGATTAAGTTTCTTCTTAGTGTGTTCAACGTAATTGTATACAACGAAGCACGTATTTGATTACTAATTTCTCGTCTTTGACGTGTGTAACGGGCTACGAG